GTGGGGGCAGCGGGGGGTTCCCCCGTATAGAGGCGGGGGGCGCGGGGACAGCGGCGGTCCCCAAGGCCCAAGGAGAGCCCTGGGGCTGCTCGCCACAGCCCGGGCCCCGTGTGGGGACAGCGGCACCCGGCGGCTGCGGGGATCGCCCGGGGGCTCCGCAGCAGCCCATATAGAGCTGGTAAACCACACAGGGCCCCCGGGAGAGAAATTCTTATCTCTCAAAGGGAGAAATCACTGCTAATGCCTTCTCTCTGTCTCTCTCACTCCCCCCATCCCCCTCCCTTTTTTTTTCTTCTTCTTTTAAGGGCTTTACTGGAGGATATGGCACATGGATCTCGTTCAGTCTGCCGTCCTGTACAGCGTAATGACCCTCATCAGCACCTATCTGGTGGCTTTTGCCTACAAGAACGTCAAGTTTGTCCTCAAGCACAAGTAAGGTTTGCTGGTTGCTTGAAGTGTGACTTAGCTGTTAAAGAAGCTGTTGAAAACAGCATTTACGATTGTTTTCATCAGTAAAAGCATTTGAAACAGTATGCTGAAGAGCTTTATTTTACCTAGAAGGTGAAAGAGGTAAGCTTTTCTTAAAACTGTTGCTTCTTTTCTTGAGATTGTTTAGAGTCGGGTACTGGTGGAGTCTGTTTGGTTCAGGTAACTCACAGACCTAATAATTTTTCATTTTTTTTTAACTTTAATGTAAATGGTGTTTCCTGCAGAGTAGCACAGAAGAGAGAAGATGCTGTTTCTAAAGAAGTTACTCGCAAGCTTTCTGAGGCAGACAACAGGAAGATGTCTCGTAAGGAGAAGGATGAGAGGTAATGCTCTGTTTCCTTTCTTCTTTCTTTTGCTTCTAATACGAAGTAGTATCTTCAAGCTGTAGATAGGATTTTAGAGACTGTCTCCTTGTTTTCTTGATATATTCCAGTAAGAAGCAGCTGTGCTGTCAGCTCTGTGTTCATCTATAAAGCTTTTTTGAAGTGAGTTATCAATGAAGGGACACAGACTTTGAAACCTTTATCAGAAGGGCTCATAAAGCAACCACACTGTGCTTGAACTGCGAAGCAAAACCCCTTTTCCTGCAGGCTTTCTCATAACTGCCTGAAGAGTGAATGCCACAGCTGTCTTTAGAAATAGCAGAAGTTCTTTTTCTCAAGGACAGGCTAGTGCAGGGCTTTCCAAAGCTTACTACATTTTATTAGGTTCAGTCTATTCATAACGCTGTGTGTGTCAGGGTATACATTCAAGAAGAAATGTGTGAAATAATGTCTCTACTTGTATACAGAATTCTGTGGAAGAAAAATGAAGTCGCAGATTATGAAGCAACAACTTTTTCCATCTTTTACAACAACACCCTCTTTCTGGTCTTGGTCATCATTGCTTCATTCTTTGTGTTGAAGAACTTCAACCCAACTGTGTATCCTTTACTAGTGCAATTGAAACAACTAAAATCCTGCTTATATTTTTTCGTAGTTATGTTTGCAGTCTGAGTTGTGAGATTATTCTTTAGATATAAGCAGGTCTTTGAAGTGCCTCTGCTTGGAAACCCTTGAATGTACAAAGGAAGAGTACCCTGTAAGTCTCCAAATCACATGAACGATTTATCACCTAGCAGTAGGTGTTTTAAAGGCATCACCTGGACAATCTAGAGAAATCCCTGTGGTGCTGCCATTTCAAACATAATGTTTTATGCACTTAGGAAGCAGTTCACAGCCACAGAGAAATGCTGCATTCATGTTAGCTGCCAGATGCTTTTACATTGTTACATTACAGAATTGTTGAGTTTCAGGAAGTGAAGTTCCCAAGTAAAATTATTTCTTTCATGTAAGTAAATAAATACTGCCAGTAAGTGCTGCATATGTTAATGAAAGACCTGTATAAACAATACTTAAATTATAAACAATGTTTATATTTTAAAACGAACAGACTAAACTTTGCAGGTGTCTTAGTTTTAAAGTACGCTTCTAAATTCAACATCCTATAGAGGAAAACAGTTTCAATCTTTTTTTTTTCTTTTTTTCTCTAGACATGCTCTGCTAAATGTTTTGTGCAAACAGAGGTTGCCTGTTGTACCTTAAAAGCTTATATCCTTAACCTTCTCCCTACAGGAATTATATTCTTTCTATAAGTGCTTCATCAGGCCTGATTGCCCTGCTATCTACAGGATCCAAGTAGACCAAACAAAGCAGGGGTTTATTTCTGTGGGGGGTTCAATTTTCTTACTAACATTTAAGGGGGGAAGAGGACTGCTTTTTTATGGCATGACTCCTTGAGGGTTTGGGGTGGGGTTTAAAAGGAAAATGAGTGAATTGTAATTACTTTGGTGTCTTTACAAGGCATTATTCAATAATTGGATGAATAAGTTTGTTACTTAGCACAGAAAGAAGGTGGCATGTGAGCAGTTACTGAACATACCTTTTCTGAAGCGCTTCGTGGGTGCGTTGGCACTGCAGGTTCCTAGCAGACCGTAACGGGGTGCTACACGATGGCACAGAAAGCTGGGCTCAAAATCCTTAACACAGTTTGGTCACTGCTACAAGAGCCTGGCTCCCTGACCCTAAAAAGTGACAACCCACCATTTATCATTGTAACATGAGAAGTTTTAATAAAAAGGAGGCTTTTCTGCCAATTACTTCTTTGCGTTTCCATTCTGAATTGCTGAAAATGGGGGTTTTCGTGGGCGGGGTGTGTTTGGGAGCTTGTCGACAGAGAGAAGTCCTCTAAAGTTGGGGTATGTGCTGTTTCCTGGAAAGACTCCTCATTCTTGAACAACTTGGAGCTATGGACGGAACCTAGACAGTGTCCTAGGAAGGTGGTTTGGAATTGGTTTGTTTGGAAGTGGTTTGAATGTAGATTTTTTCCTCCGTTCATCTCTGAAGTCTTAAATCAGAAAAACATGCAGACTTCCTGGCACAGCCTAACTAATAAAAAAAGCAGCTAAAGCGATTTTCCTGTTTTAACAGGTTTATCACTCAATTCTTCTGCTTTTCTCATGCTATCAGTGAAGCAGATAATCCACCTGTTAAATGATAAATTTTATTAATGTGATTATAATATAAAGTTATTGCTGTTACGGATCTGGTATCCTAAAGAAGAAAGAGCCTATAATCAGAGCTAAAGTAAGAATTATTATGCTAACCTTTTTAATATTCATCTTTTGGTAAAAAATAGTAAAACAGAACTTCAAGGGGCTGTAGTCTTTGCCCTGAAGATGTATCTGGCTTGGCCTCGAGCGTGCTGAGCTTGTACATTTTCCCATAACAAGTTGAAATAACATTTCTGACTTGTGTCACTGCTGTGTCCTAGGGCTAGTGTGCTAGAGGGACAACTGAGGGTCAGGTTCCAGTGATCAGGGGATGACAGCAGGAAACAGAGCAGTATTTCGGATGCTGTTTTTGAAGTGTTCAGTATCCACCTGAATCCGAAGTGTTCGGTTCTGGTAATGTTATTAAAAAGAATAAAGAATTTTCCTTCTAAGTCATTGCTGAGGGCAGAAGAGTAACCACCACCTGCTTGAGGCATGAAATACCCATAGTTGTCAGCATTTGCCAAAGCCTGATCAAGAATTTTCCACTGTTCTTGATGCTAATCCTAAACTACAGTCAGCAGCTTGCTAATTCTGACAAATCCGACCACAGTGTCAAAAAATAGTACCTATGCTACCCGTTTCCTGTGCATATTTCTCTCTCTCCAGCATTTTCGAGGTTGAGATTTTTTTTCTTTGCTCTTAATGTCATTATGTAATTTGCTTTGTTTAATTTGCTTCCCAGCAAAGGTAATACTATTGATTTGTTTGCATCATAAAAATTCCATGGGTTTGGGTACACTTCAGAGCTGCCAGTGAAACTTACTGTTCTGTTCAGTTATTTAACACTTCAAAATATCCAATTATCTTGGATATTTTCCCTCAATACATAGTTTTTCTTTATTGCTCCTGCTTATTAGCTATTAAGGGAATATTTTCCATATTACTGCTGCTTACTGTGCATAATTGTATTTCTGTTAACCTGCCACTTAGGATATTATTTTTTATATATATACACATATACATGTATACATATTTTAATAACTTTTAAAGCTCTTAATAAAAAACTAATTACTACAGAAGTTAGTTGTATAAAGGACTGTGTAAGCTTAAATGTGGCACTAACTACAAGTATTTAGCATGTAATTCCAATACAATTTTATAAACTCATCACAAATAATGCAAAGACCAACATTCAGTAAGCAATTGGACTTAGAAGTTGCTATTTTGCTGGGGTTTTTTTGTTTGTTTCTTTTCTCTCTCGTAGTTTCTACCAAAACTGTACAGTAAAATTCAGACATGTAAATAGGCAGTGCTGATGCTCATTTTACTTGTCAGTTTTTGTAGAGATGGAGACTAGCTGCAGGTATTTTTCAAGAAATCTGCCATTTAGAGAAAAGTAAATTGAAGCAGCCCTTTCTTCTGCTATTACTGTCACTTCACTGAGTCTTCTATTAACAGCTTTTCATCTTCCCTTATATCTGAACCTGGAGCATATTATGTGCCAGGTTTTTTGGAGGGAAAGTGTTGCAGAATTGACAGCCTGAAACGAAAGCTGTTTTTTTTTTTCTTTTGTTTTTAAAAAAGGCAAGCATGTTCTGTGGGCTTCTTCAGGAAAAGTGTGATTTTTGAAACGCACCCAGTTTCAGCTGAGTGATGCTGAAGGGTGGCCTGAAGCAAGGGGAATGCTTAGCAGCGCGTTCGCCTCTGACGGCTGAAAGCAGCTCACAGCTGAGACAACGTCGTCTCCTTTTTAATAAAAAAGGAGGAGGGGATTAATATAGTTTGCAATAATGAACTGTTGGATTCCCATGTAGATGAGAGAGAGGAAAAGAGAGCACTAGGTTGTATCCCCGGAGGGGCAAAAAGGAGCAAATCTGTTACTGGGAAAATAATTGACTTGGTAAGTGTATAAAGTCAAAGCCCAGTGCTGTGCACGAAGAAGATCCTTTTTAACACTTAAACAGTAAATTTTCATCTAGAAAATACACAGTAAGTACTGCAGATGTTCCTGCTGTGTTAATTTCAGACAAAAATAGATTCTATGACTGGCATCAGCCTTAGGCTAGCTTTAAAAGTACCTTCTGAGAGGTGCAGCACATGGCAAAACGAGACCCTCCGACAGCAGCTGAGCCCCACGTCACGGCCACATGTCCTGTTCCCTTGTCCTAAATGGGTGCAGGTAAAGATTAAATTTTGCAGTGGAAAGTTACATATTCATTTTCAGTGTAATTTATACTCTGACAACAATGTACCTTTTAACCAGTGTGCAGGTTTCCTTTTTATAAACAGTACGTGTCTCCAAGTATAAAATTAGGTGCACAAAATGCTTTTATTTTGTCCAAGCAGAAGTCCAAGTCAGATTGCAGTTCCTGATATACAGCTACTAAGTTCATTTACACATACCATAGCTCATTGAATTAAATACAGGAGAAGAAAATATATATATATAAGGATTAATATCTGTCCGTGCAGCACAGAAGTGCCGTACACACTTGTACAGATATCATGAAGTTAAGGAAAATAGAATACAAGGGTCCTACAAATACTGTACAGAATTGTAGCCTTTAGGAAGTATGATTATTCAATACAGGTGTGAAATATTTAATGAAATCCTAGGTGCGTTTTACAAAGCAAAGTCATGGTAAAAATCTAACACAGTTCTCAAAAATGGGCAAATTAATGCTGACCATCAACTCCTTAGAGGGATGAAATGCTCACAGAAAAACCCCACTGGATTAAAATGTATCTTAAAAATACTATGCATTTACTTGTGCCCGATTCTAGAACAAGTTAAAGCACAGGTAGCCCTCCACCAAAAAACATACCTGATTTTTCTGATATTTTTCAGCAGCTTTATATTATACACATTTAAATGTATCTATAGGCTTAAAAGCTCATGAATAGTTAAAGCTGCAATAGCTATGTCTACAAGCAGGCAAAAGTAGAGGCAGATTTCTGCAAATTGCAAAAACTAATATTTTATCAAGGGTTTGTTGGTTTAAAGCCTATATAGAACTAGAATTCCGCAACCAGCAGCTGTTTGCGTTATCCTGACATCCCCCCTGGGGTTCTCGCTCTGCTCTTCCAGTTCGTACTCGGAAACACTTCTTGGAGCCATATCTCCACAGCTGAGATTACTGGTACAGTTAGGAGCTGAGCTATAGGGTTTCTAACTATTTTTCTGACCTAAGTCCTCTATTCAATTACAAGCTAAATCTAAAGCCTGTATTCAGCATAAAAAAAGCAAATGGAAAATTTGAACATGCCCATTCTCTCTGTTAATCTAACTGAAGAAACGTTATAGCTGACATTCCCCAAATGTAGATTTATTAAAACCTTAAGTTGCATCTGGCTTTGTTAATTGAAAAAATATATCTGTACATCCTTCTTTAATTACCAAGTACCTAAAGGTTATAAATTTTTTTTTTTTTGCTTTACATATGTTTTTCACAGCACAAGCATGAGGTGCTAAGAGTAAAGTCAAAATGAATGGTTTCAGTCGAAGGTAAGAAAAGACGAGATCGTTCTCGTTGTAAGAGATCAACTGTGCTTTTAAATGCCA